AGTGACAGGAAAGAATATTTTGGGGGTAACATTGCATCATTTTGAGACTGAAAGTATAGTGTGCTAATGAAAATAATTCCAGTTGCAGATTAACAACTAACATTATCAAAGATTTAGCATGGTCATGAGTTTTCTGAACACTTTGTATATTAGAACACTTTGTCACCTTCCTCTTTGCTGTAGTTTGAGTATACCTTCAAAAGGCCCAGTGCCATGGCCTGGTCCCCCAGGCGCAGCTCCCTGGAGTTAGTAAGCCAGCTTAGAGGTTGCCAAGGGGAAGAAGTTAGGTCACCGGGGGCCATGTCCAGCAAGAGGATCCCAGGATCCTACTCCTTTGCTCTCTTTGCTTATTGGTCATGAGATGAGTAGCTTTTGCTTTGCTGTGTGCTCCCAGTGTGATGTGCTACCTTAATATAGGCCTAGAAACAGTGGGACCAATCAATCATGGACTGGAACCTCTAAAACCATTAGTCAGGATAAACCTTTTCTCTTTATAAGTTGATTTTATTCAGGTGCTTTATTGTAGTGAGTACAAGCTGTCTTATGTATAGTTCTACTCCAACAGCTCTCCAAGAAAGGAAGGTGCTCTCCCACCAGCTGGCAAAACAGTTGTGAAGCCATGGCTGCACATCTAGTTGATGCTGCGAGTTGCTCTATAGTTTCATTAGTTAAGTGATAGTAATGCAGCAGCCTCAGTGTGATGCTCAGGTTCTCATGATTGTGGTCTCAGAATTTAGAAGTGGCACCATGGCCTTGTTCGTGGACTCTGTAGGGTGACTTAGCCCCCAGGGTCTGAGGAGATAGAGAGATGCCCTGTCCTCAGAGATTGACATTCTTGGGAACTGGAAGTGGCAAGAAACAGGGACTTCTGAGAGCCACCAAAGAGTACAAGGTGCTCTCTGGACTCAGGGGGTCAAAGAAGGGAAAGAGAAAATTGGTAAGTGACTCAGGGAACCACGGGGAAGATGTCTTCAAAGACAAGGTGTTTTCATAGGTTTGGAACACTTCCTGAAAGCATTCTAGACCCTCACTTGACCCTCTGCAGTTAGTCTTAGCCAGGGGCCAGATACTGGCCATGGAGCAGCTTTTCCCCCATCATCCCTGACCCCTTCCTCTCTGCTGCCACCACTGCTGGAGCCTGTAGCTGAGTGAGGGACTGATCTTCAGGTCCTGGAGCTTTCACTGTGCTTTGGCAGCATGGTTCCTTAGGCACACACTCAACTCCTGAGCACACGTGTGCACACTCTTGTGCGCACACACTTGTCTTTTGCCACCCTGCCATTAGGATTACTAGGGAGAAAACCCAATGCCAAGCACTTGGTAGTGGAAATGTAGTCAGGAGTGTCTTTGATTTTAGATCTGTGTTTAAATTTTTTTTGGCTTTCCTATAGGAAGTTTTGTTTTCTAAATTCTTTGCTCTTTGGCTTTGTGTTTTAAAGACTGTGGTTTACACCTTGAATTTGAAGCTCCTGAGAGAAGTTGCAGTGACCAGGCAAGAGATGCAAGTGGACCCAGTCTTTAGGAGCCTAGGTGCATGGGCTTGGCTGTCTGGGGCAGGGCCTCTCAATGCCTGTCTCCAAGAATGCTCAGTGGGGACCCAGTGTCTTCTTTGTGAGCAGATAACAGAAGCCCTTCTTCTCTGGACCCTGCTAAATGTGTCTGGTTGAGCCTGGTTCTCTCTTCTTTCCCATTGCCCATTTCTACAACCACCCACTAAAGGACAGTTTCTCTCTCCCCAGAGAAACTAGAAAACCATTATAATAAAGTAAGATCTTGGATCCCATGACTTTGTGTGTGTGTGTGTGTGTGAGAGAGATAGAGAGAGAAAGAGGGAGGGAGGGAGGGAGAGAAAGAGAGAGAAAGAGAGAGATTTATTTTAGTGTTACCACTTTCTCACAGTGGAATTAGAGTTTCATTTCACAACAGTTTTCATTTGATCTTAGGTATATTTGTTTATGATATTTCAGTGACAAATCATACTGTATTTTGTACTGATGTCTTTTTAGTTTTACTAGGCTGTTGCTTCCTTGAGGATGAAAGTTATTCCTGACCCATTCTTGTTCCAGTATTTCAGCTATTGATAAGTGTGTTTTATTGACCTGAGTAGGATATAATACCATGATGTCCTTCAAATTCAGCAGATCTAGAGCTCATGCATGTTACCTGGTGTGAACATTTCTCACAGCCATGTCTGTGATGGGTTTTGCTATTCCAATGTAATATGAATCCAGAGGTGCATGTTTGTGTGTGGAAATGAGAATACCATAAATACATGATTAGAATGTAAAATGACCCTATAAATCTCCTTCTAGAAAATTATTTTTCCACTAAAAGAAGTATCAGAACACTGCTATTCATAACAAAATCATGCCTACTTAAATCAATCTGGAATTATTACTGGAATATAAAATACTTCCAAGAATATTTTTAAATTATGAAGGCAAAAGAAGATAGAAAGTTGTTAATGGAATGGGGAATGGAAAACCGCCGTGTCCTTTTATTTTGTATTGGCTCCCAGCATGATAAAAGAATCAAGATCTTAAAGTGAGAAAAGAAGTGACAGCCATCTGTGTCTTCCTTGGTATCAGGGACCTTCTGGCCTGAGCATCCTATCTTCCCCTTTACTCTGTTGCTCCTCATGGTCATGGCATCCCGAAGGGTTCTCCATTACACTGTTCAGTCTGACTCATGGATCTCATGACTCCTGATGGTGGTGAGTTCACAGGAAGTTGGTACCACCATTCCACTCTGATTTATGATTGATGCTGAGGCTTCAGGCTGGTGTTGATTCAGCTGTTCCATAGTGTTACTGCAGACCAGATTTCTTTTCTCCACAGTACTGCCTCTATTGGGAGTTTCATTCAAACTGTGTGTGACTCCTCTGACCCCCAGATGACTAGGAGTAGGCTAGGGTGTTAACAGCCAGAAGGAAATGAGGCTAAGAAAAAACACTATCTCCCTATTCTCTGCAAAGTCCCACTTAGACCTGCGGTTATAGCCAGAGAACATGATGCATTAATTGGCTTAGCCTATGGTTAACATTGGCAGGTGAGGTAACCCCACCCCAACTAAGAGCTCCTAATTACTTGTACCATTGCAGAGTAGCAGGCGCTTGAGCTAGGGAACCAGCTTGCTGATGTGTAGTACGTGAGGTTTATCAATCTCTCAGTTGTTCTGTTGTCTTGCTTTGAAATCTGTGTCATCTACATTGTTTTCTTCTGATCGGCTTTGTTCTGTTATTTTTAATTTTACTCTCTTTAAAATTAAAAAAATAATTTGTTTTTTCATTCTGGGTGTTTCCATTGATGAAAAGTGGCGTTCGAAATAGGTCCTCAAGAGTGGAGCCTTCAATATTATATTTTCTGGGTGTTTCCATTGATGAAAAGTGGCGTTCGAAATAGGTCCTCAAGAGTGGAGCCTTCAATATTATATTTTCTACCAATTTCCCGGAAGCTGTCCTTTTTTCCTCCTAGCTCTAATACTAGACCTTAGGAGAACGGTCTGCAGCAAGTGTGGCCAGAGTAGGTCATGCTTTCCCGCTGCCCCTTATCTGAAGTGAGAAGGAAGAGGGGAATAAAGAAATACAGACATTATTCCCCTTTCAATAAAGTTTATTTTAAACACTTACTAGTTCAATTATTTAAATACAGGGTGACCCAAAATTGCATATTTTGCATTAACTTTCACAAGATAATATAATAGGAACTATAACAGTGACAATTTTATAAAATGTATTCCAAAATTTTTCCGTGTGTGGTTTATCGTAAAACATTTAATACACAATAACATTACAATCTGAACAGTAGTATCTAGTCGAAACTGTATTTCTTTGAAAAGCACACTTTACACTGACATGTTGGCTTTTTCTTTTTTCTGTGGGTGGTATAATTTCAATAAAATATCTGCCTGCCAAATAGTGGTGAAGATGTCAATAATGGGCATCCTGGTCAGTGTTTTATTCTCCTGTGTTTTTCTATTTGTTCTATTAGTTTTAGTCTGAATTATAAATGACTTCTTTTTGAATCCCCTTGTTTGAATGAATAAGAAATGAAACCCATATTGTTTGGTCCAAAAGGTGCATAAATATTATAAAAGTATTTTTCCTCCCTTTTTGATTATAGGATAAGCATGTTAGATATTGGTCAGTTTTGTCAACACCACTCATTGGATTATTATAATCATTGACCACTATTGGAACGTTTTAGTTCTGTTTCTTCTTTTATTTTCTGTCTTTTCTGTGTTATGAACAGCTGACAGTAAGGAGATGCCTTTTTTTTTTTGTCTTTCCATTTCATGGCATAGTGTTTTCCTCTTGGATGTGCTAATGTTTCTCTTTTTTCAATTTTTTTTTTTTTTTTTTTTTTTTTTTTTTTGCAGATCTTTTGGCACTTCTTTCCTATTCAGTGTCAGTGTCCTAAACTTGTCTGTTTTGTATTATAAAAGAACAGCATTGCTTTCTGCAGAAATATAAAAACTATACCTAATGTATTTACAGTAACAGTTTTTATAGATTATAGCACAAAATTATTTTCCACAAATAAAATAAACATGAATAAAAGAAAATAACTAGAAGTTACTAGATTTCACTACATTCAAACATACTGGTTTTAAATAAAAAACACACAAAGCATACTTGATATAAAACAAGTAGATGTACATGCAAATGTACATCTGTCATGCAAATGACAGTTGACTGGTTGAAGTGACTCCTGCCCAGCGATGCCAGAGATGATAGTATGTAAGCAAACGTGTCACCCAAGTGGCAGTGGGGGTAAACTGTTACGTGGCTAAGAAAATAATTTTTATCGCTTGAATCATTATTCAAAAGGAATGGGCATGATAAAACTGTAGTATGTGCAGTAAGAAGCAGTCCTACTCAGTTTGTTAATTTTGTGCCACTGAGCCTCTACATTATGATTGTATTACCATCCCACACCACATCCTCCTTCCAGTCATGCTTTCAGTGAGAACTGAAAAGACTATCCTGTCTCTCCCTGCAGCGGACAGTTTGCAGTGGTGAAGAAATGCCGAGCGAAGAGCACCGGGCTGCAGTATGCTGCCAAGTTCATCAGGAAGCGGAGGACCAAGTCCAGCCGGCGGGGTGTGAGCCGGGAGGACATCGAGCGGGAGGTTGGCATCCTGAAGGAGATCCAGCACCCCAACATCATCACGCTGCACGAGGTGTATGAGAGCAAGACGGATGTTGTTCTGATTCTGGAACTGTGAGTGTCCTCCCTGGGCGAGGTCGGGGTGGTTAATGACAGGAGGGTCAGCCCGGCTTCTCTCCAGCCAGACCTCTGGGCAGACTGGCGTGGCAGAAATGCATCCTGCTGGCCCTTGGTGAGCTGCCTGGCTGAAGCTTCACTGTACTTTTCCTGGAGAAAGTATAAAGAGCAGCATCTGAGATTTTCAGGAGGGCCCCCAAATCTCACGGTTCACCACTTACTGAGATCCTCCTCTGTCTCCTGTTTTCCTTTAGGCTTCAAGCCAGTGTCCTTTCCTCTGTTCCTGTCTTCCCTGCTTTTTTCCTTGTCTGCCTCTGCTCACTTTCTTTCTCTTCTCCCCTCATCTCTTTCTCCTTGCATGTTACATGTGCATGCACATACATTTTAACTGTGAAACTGTGGACACTAGTTATGTAAGTGGGGGAAACTGAGCCAAGTGTGATTATAGGACTTGTTCTTTCAAGCAGGCTACTGATCTCAGGCAGACTCTACCCATCCACTGTCATGGTGGGTGGCAGCTTGTGCCCCAGAATTCTGTGGCCTTTCTAGCTCCCATCTCGAATTCCTCCCTGACTCAGCTTCCTAAGTGTGTCATGGAACCTAGCAGTGTTTGCTGGCAGGAGAGGAGAAGATTTCAGTGGGGCATATAGCAGGGTCTGTCTGGAGTATTGTGGAGGGAGTTGACAGAATGGAAAAAGATTCTGTTGTAAGCACTCCCGTAGTTCCTAGTAATGACGGGTCCTGGGAGCCCTGTGGTCCAGATTTGCCTGTCTTCCAACCTGACAGCCCCCTGTCTTTGCACATCACTTGGGTTTTTTTTTTGAGAAGTTATTTCTCTGGGTTGTCTTGGCCACCTCACACTCTTGGGCTCAGGCGCCTGGAGAGTTGAGACTACAGGTGTATGCCACCAGCCCTGGCTAGATCTCAGTGATTTTTTTTTAACCTAGAAAAAGCTAAAAAGTTTACAGAGTAGCTAGCCCAGCCCCTGGTCCATCCTGCTGGTGCCCCTGATCCTTATACTTCTTGATTCATCACTGGAATTTGGGCACGTTGCTTTATGGTTCTCCATTGCATGTTTCTTAACTATAGAATGGGATCAACAATACCTACCTTGAAAGGGTTTTAGGAAATGAATGACTTAAGGGTTGTCAAACACTTTATCCATTGCTTGCTCATAGATATATTTAATGAGTTTCCTTCCTCAGCTTCAGCTGAGGTGATGTTTGGGGATACACTATTTTTTGGTTGTTTTTTTTGGGGGTGATCTTTTCGAGACAAAGTCTTGCTATGTAGTTCAGACTGGCCTTGAACTCAGTATGTAACTTAAATTGGCCTTGAATTCATGTTGACCCTCCTGCATCTGCCTTCCAAGTGCTGAGATTGCAGGTGTGTGCCCCCACACCTGATAGCACCATTCTTGTTCCTGCTGTCCTGTGTGTTGTAGATTGTTTAGCACCATCTGTGTACTGGATGCCAGTGACACGCACCAGCACTGGCTATGATAGGCAGAAATCCCAAACTGTATCCCAGCATTGGCACATATTTTCTGAAAATAACCCCCTCTTTTCCCCAGAACCCCAGCCGTAAAGGAAGGGCAAAGCTTTAAGGGTACAGGCCTGCTTACGATATAGCAGAGGAAGAGAGGTGCATAGGGTGTTCCCTTTAAGTGACTTTAAATGGCCTCTGGGATGCCCTGGTTATATAGAAAATCAGGACCAGGAACCAAGATGTCCAGGTCACATCCTCTGTGATCCTGAAGCGTTAGATTCCCTCCTTAAGTCTTTTCAAGAGACTGTTCAGGACCAAGAAACATCCAGGTTGCCTTTGCAGAGACCTCCCAGCTCATACCCAGTGATCAGAGAGAAAGCTGTTGCCTCTTTCCCTTCTACCACATGAGAAACGTGCCATCTCTGAGCATTTTGTGCCCACCTGGGTATGTGTGTTTTGGACTGCATTTCTGTTTTCTGACCTCATATTGTAGACATTTTTCATTAGGTGCCTTTACCTTGTGCCTAATTTGAATGACATGCATTTCTTTTTTCACCATTTGATTTAAAACAAGTTTAAAAATAAATTTATGATGTTGGAAGGTTGTGTAGTGCTGTGAGAGGGAAGAGATGTAGATCATATAACTTTATACTTCCCAATCTAGATGCAGAGCTCTCCTCATATGCCTGTGTACAGCAGTAACCCTTGTGCTGTTTTATAGGCATCCTGCCCTCTGCTCTCTAACCCCTGAGAGTCCTCATTACTATTGTTTTGTCATCTGGAAAATGTCACGTAAGGAGAGCCATATAGTATGTAACCTCTGAGGACTGAATTCTTTGATGCAGCATAGTGTTTGTGAGATTTGTGTGTAGCTTGTTGCTTTGTATTGTTAAGTATTCTGCCATTTAGCTGTTTATCCATTTCCTTTCTTATTATGGCTGGTGTCTGGATGTATCTCCAAAGCCTCATGTAGTTATAGAGTTTTCTCAGTGGTGGCCGAATCTAGCTAGAGTGTGTGATTGATTCGTGGTGCAATGCTGGGATTAAGAGTGCTGGCAATAAGGGTGGGTGATTGCTGGATCAGTTCACAGATTGGAGTGGTACCACCCTAATCCAGTATAGTGAATCATATAAGGGACAGAAAGAAACTTGTGTCATTCTCTCTTGTTACTTTTGCTGTCTTCTGCTGCCATGATTTGTTGCCTTAGTGCCATAAACCACCCTCCCTGGAGCCAGTTGATTATGGACTGAAATCTCTACAAACTGTGAGCTAAATAAACCTTTCCCCCTTTAACCTTGGATGTTGGCTATTTTGTTTCAGCAATGAGAAAATTAACTAAAACACCCTTGCAGAACATTTGGATCATTTTTAGTATTTTATCATGAATTAATCTCCTATAAACTCTCACAGAATTGTGTTCAAACTCACAGATTGCTGGATCATATCAAAAGTACAAGTTTAAAGGTATAAGAAGCTGGCCGCCTATTTGCTAACGTAGCCATATCATTTTGCAGTCCTCTTGGCAGTGGGCAAGACTCCTGGAGGCCGTGCCTGTCCTTGACATACACTCTAATCGGTGCCTAGTTTCATCACTGAGTACATTCCTTTTCATGATGAGCATATTCGAGCTGAGCGAGAGCACCAGGAGTAGCAGCATTGGGGTACACAGGAAAGGTGCATCCCAACATTGTGGTCTCTTCCTGAGTTTTTGCTCTGTACAAATTTCAGCATCTCCTGTGAACTGCTTGTTTTTGCCTTTTACCTTTGTTACCTTTTATTACTGTGTTTTTGCCTTTACACCAGGCATTAAGGGGTTGTGACACCTTCATGTCAGCTTAGCTGGGCTGTGGGCTGTCCAGATACTTGGTAATATTATCTGAGAGTTTCCATCAAAGTGTTTCTGGGTGAAGTCAACATTTACACTGCAGGACTGAGTAAACTATGGGCCTCCCTCTGGTGAGTGGGCCTCTGACCAGTTGAGGCCTGACTAGAGCAAACAGATTAACTCTGTTAAGCAAGAGAAAGTCTCTGCTGTCTGATAGTTTCAGACTGGAACGTTTTTGATTTTGGACTTGATCTGAAACATTGGTTCTTCTTTGTGGTTTAGCCTGCTGCCTGTGGAGCAGGAGCTGCACCTTGTGTTCCTGGGTTGCCAGCTTCCCAACTCACCTTTCAGATCTTGGGACTTGTCAGCCTCCCAAACTGCATGGGCCAATTCATGTGTATAGTTGTGTCCCATAAGTAGGATGTTTGTCTGTAATTTATGTATGAATATGTATTGATTCTCTTGTTGGGTCTGTTTCTCTGGAGAATGCTAATACAGAGGTACTAAATGTTAAAGATGTGACGTTCACTTATTTTTGTCTTGGTGACCTATCCCATTTTGTGTTTATTTACACTGCTATGAGAGTTATTTTAAAATTTTAATAGACTGCTCAAATTATTGTGTTTGTCTGGGTCAGAGTGATCTTTGCCTTTGAGAAAACGGGCATTATTCTACGTTGTAGTAGCTTTAAAGGACTTTTTCGTTTTTAGATACTATCTCCTTTTTTCTTTCTTAAGAATGTTGAGGTACATTGGTGGTTAGAAGCAGAACAAAAACTAAGAATTTGTCAGAAGTGTATGGCTTAATAGTGTTCATTTATCTACCTCTCTGTGCCAGTAACATTTGAGTGGAATTTGGTTTGGATTTATTGTTTGGGATGAGCACTGTTGAAGCCCAGCTTTCTTGAGGCTTCCTAACTCTAACCCTGACCCTAACCCTAATCCTGAGCTCATCATTGCTGTGGAGACAAAGACCCTTCACTGGATATTTCCCTGACCACCCCTAGTACCAAGGAAGATTCTTTGCTGTCTTTCATGCAGATACTGTCTTAGTTACTTTTCTTATTGCTGGAACCAAATACCCAACACCCACAAGTTAAAGGAAGAAAAGTTTATAGAGGTTTCAGTCTGTAGATGGCTCGTTCCAAGGCAGAGTAGCCTGGCAGACAGGCGTCAGAGTAGCCTGGCAGATAGGGGAAACAGTTCATGGCAGGCAAAAAACAGCAAACGCAAACACACAAGAGGCAACCATAGCTCTTTCTATCTTATCCAGGATCCTCAGGGCAGGCAGCACTCACACGTTTAATCCTTGAGCCCTTGATCTTCGCATTGCACCCTGAGGCAATCCAGTGTCACATATGTAGATCCAGTCACCTCTGAAAAAAATCCCCACTTATGGCTGCATGAGCCTACTTGTAGATACAGTCCATAACAGATGGTACCATGTCCTGGTTTATGTAAAAGGAACAGTGGTCAAATCCGAGGCCAGGTGCTGCCCTTTAACATTTTTGCAAGTCTAAAAGCCACTTTAAAACCATAGTTTTACCCCCTTCTTGCTAACCAGGAAATAATATTCTCCTAGTCAGTCTTCAGATGAGAGTAGCATAAACACAAAAAAGGTGTCTGTCATATCTTAAGATCATGCTCCTGTGCCCTACACAGCCTGGTGTTCCCTTGTGAAGTT